TTTTGAAAAGCTAGAATTTGCTCTGAATACCAAGGCAATTTCAGCTCCTGGAAGAGAAGGCAGCTGAATAGATAGCAAGCAAAATACAGTCTCTATTATTCTTAGCTTTAAAAAAAATTTTAAATACCCTCTGGGGAATTTGCATACTAGTCAGACTTCAGTGCTGAAGTGGGTGGTTCCGGCTGAGAGCAAGCTCTATTCTGGGATGTCTGTGCTGAGGCTGAGTGGGACAGATTGCTTGGTGCTGCTATGGAACCTTAGAGTCATTTCTTTTAATGGGGTTCACCTGTCAAGTCAAGTTCCCCCAACCTGTGCAAAAGGCTCTTCTAATGAGACATGCTATCCCCTTTTCTTAGCAAAACTCAAAAAGCTGGACTGTTTCTGTCAGTGAAATAGTGAAACACAGTCTTTCTCTCTCATTAATAAGATTGCTTTCTCTTCAGAGTGAAGGCTTGGGAATTTCTTTTTTTCTCTTCTTTATTTTTTTTTTCACATCCACTCCCACGTCACTCCTTTTGTTAACAAAAGTGTGTCACAAGTCAACATATTTTCCTCAAGGCAAAACAGGTGCCTTTTTTTTTTCCTTCCTTCTTTGAGTAACAGTGTTATGATGTAGCTGGATTCCAGGTTATGTAACTCTTAACTAGTGTGTCAAGGCTTCATCATTCCATTACCAGCCAGGAGTCTTTGGTGCCTATTGAAACATTTTCTATTTGAATAAACTCACAGCTTAAAAGGTAAAAAGACTGGGAGGGTGCCAATACACAATCTTTCTTTCTAGTGTTTGGAATTCAGGATCTTAGGCTTTTTGTTTATCAAAATATCTACATCATTTTAGAAGTTGAATAAATAAAATAAATTGGTTTAAAGCTTTAATTTTTCTATGTACAGGGAAACTTGAAACTAAAAATTTCTCATTTTGATTATTATCTGAGACACTGGTTAGCAATTAGTGGGGTATACATTTTGTTTTGTTTTAATGAGACGGTCACATTTTCTTGGGAAGGTCTTAGTATCTTAATTCTTGGAAACTGTGAAGACAAAACTGAATGAAAGAAAGCAAGTTTGAGTGTCCCCTTAAGTGACTCCAAAACTGGACAGGTTAGACTGCCCTTAGTCCCTTGGCATTTTAACACACTAATCCGAGGAAAGTAAAAGAAAAAGATATGTTAGCTAATGCCAGTTGATTTATATGTAACATTAAAAGTGAATTTCCTGAATCCAGAGGAGAACCCAGAGGGAATATAAAATCACTAACAAAACAAACTAAGAAAGGAGTTAGGGGAGGGGAGGGGAGGGGAAACTGTGGTTGGTTTGTAAAATAAATTAAAATAATAATACTAATAATAAACTAAGAAACAAATGTGATGCTTATATTTCAGAAAAATATGAAAGTTGGGGGTAGGTGAGATACAAAGATGTATTCTCTTTTCTTTTGTTTTCATGAATACAATTACACTAGGATTTTTTCCCCCAAGATTGTGCTCTTTTCCAATCATAGTCTCTCTAGGAATCTCTCTCCTGGAGTACAGATGTGAATGGAAACATAAGGCTCCCAGTGGAAACTGCTCTTAATAACATGGAGACTAAGAATGAGCAATGTACTAACCCAGCCAGGCTCCAGACTCTGAGATTTCATATACCACTGAAAATTCTGTCATTAAGAAGTCAGAAAGCGTATAATCTCATGATGAAAAATGGCTTATTTCAAAACTAATGGCATACCAAATTGTCATGAAAACCTTCTGGATTACCCTTTCTAATTCTCTCTTAGCAGACAGGGTTTGGAAAGAATGACAGCCCGGTTAAAGAGCCATCCCATTGCTAAATACTTTAAATATCGACTGCTTGGCAGAGAAAAAAAATACTGCCAATTCAAATGATGCAAAAACCATAGCTGTGTTTGCAAAGCGCCTGCCAGTTGGACCTGGTGGCACATGTCTTTAGTCCCATCATTTAGGAGGCAGGGGCAGGCATGTCTTAATAAATGAAATAGCTATATATCATATATCAAACTCTGACACACAGAAAGGGACCATATGAAACTGATGTTGCATTCAAGGCCAGTTTTGGTGATGAACTTAAGTTGCTGTGTTGTCTGTCTCTGTAAGGAACCCGTGTTCCAGTTTGCTATGGCATTTCACTCAACAGAGATTGAAGTTCCAGGGTGCCCGATGAAAGCAGACTCTGGGTACCTGGGTATCCAGAACCAAAGAGCTTGCCTAACTTTGGCAGCCAGAGAATGTCTAGATCATGTCAGGTAGATGATAACTGGGTCCTTACTGTCTACCCAGCCTGGGTCTTGTCTCTACTAAACAAAAGAGGCTCCGAGAAACTGAAGGATGCCCCTGGCTTTTTTTTTCCCAGTTCTTCCTTCTTTAGTGACTGGAAGTTGCCTAACGGTGACCTCCTCCAGGCTTGAGGTCACATTGGACCATCCCAGGATGGATGGCACGGCCCAGCTCTTGGGCGCCCTACATCTATCCCCGACATCAGCTATAGGATACGACCACCAGAGAGGAAGAACAAACCCAGCAACCTTGGAAACATTCATTTTGATTCCTGTTCCTCCCTACCCCCTCACCCTACTGCAAGATACACACAAGCACCCAATGAATGTGATACCTAGAGCCATTCATTCTTTAGAAAAGATTTTGACGCCCACGTTAATGAAGCAAACATTTGAAGTTCACAGACAGTTGGGACTTAACACAACCTATGCACTGATGTGCCTTCACTTCCTAGGATTAAAGAGGAAACGACTTAGGTTAGTTCCAATTTAATATGAGTACCCAACACTGTGCCCTTCCTGGAAGAGCCAGTCATTCCCATGCTCTAGACTTTCTGCTGATAAAACAACTGCAGTGGGTAGCCATTCCAGCTTTGATCTGGAAGTTCCAACCCCCATTGAGGCTTCGGCAACTGTCACGCCTACAAGGCGGAGCCAAGAGAGGACCCTGAAGACCCTGAAGACCCGAGATCCAGATGTGCCAGCTCTCTTGATTCCTGGACCCAGGACGCTGAAGGTAGACGGAGCAGAGTTCTCCAGAGAACACAGCCAGACAGGGCTACACCTTCCTCAGACCCTGTAACCTATCCCTTCACCTGTAAGTTACCTCACAAAATAAACCTCCTTTTTAACTATGTGGAATGGCCTTAATAATTTCACCAATAAACAATTTCAAGCATTTTTGAAAAATGATAAAATTAAATGTCATACACAAAATAACAGAAAATTAGTGAATAGATGCAGCTCAGATTTGAATTATCATGTACCACATCCTTCAACCCTACACATAAAGTGAAGTGTGTCTCCTTATTTCACTTACCCCGTCCAGAAACTAAGAATGATAAATAGTACCCTGAGAGCCCAAGCTGATTGTTCTCATCCAAAAGCCTGTGAACATTTTAATTAAAATGGTAGGAGGAGAAAGTAAATCTATCAAATATTACTTCCACCAAGCATGTTTTATTGCCATAAATGAATGCCATTTAATATTCATAACTACTTTGCAGTCATTGATAAATTTAATTGATTTTTCAAAAATAAGTGTTCTTTTTAATCTTAAAGATAGTTTGCAGTTTTACAAACGTCTCCTACAGCTTGTTGAATCGGTCACCTCCCTGACACCAGAACCCTGCGCCCCACCTGATTTTATATATTTTAGGACAACTGGTAATGCCCTGGACACTCCCCTGCTGTTTTTCTTACCTAAAACAGTTGACTGGTGGTTAATGTTTTTACATAGCTCATGTGTACTGTGCTTTCATGCATTAAGAGTTCAAATGTATTTCATTATTTAAAAAAAAAAAAAAAAAAAAAAAAACGAGAACCCCGGGAGCTAGACGTGACCATGGGCATGGCCCGAACTCGAAAAGTACATTGACTAGTCCAGCTTCACCATTTCTGTTTCTCCAGATGTGGCACCAATTCCAGATGCTCACTCAGACACTATCTGGAGAGGAACCCTTTCCTCTCTATGTAGCCCGCCCACAGGAATGGAGCCAGGCTGGTTCACATCCACAGCATCACGCACATCTCATGGCCTCCACGAATTCTACAGGAAACTCTTCAAGTGACACTGTTATTTATGTTCCTGGGCATTTCACTGATTCAAGGCTGAGAAATCTTTGTAGTGGCTAGGTTTCTCTTTTAAATGCCGTCTCCAGTATCGGATTGGAAAATACCCCAGTTACTCTCAGACATGCAAGAGACAATCACTTTTTGTTTCTTACACTCAAGAACTGATGTGCCTGCCGAGTCTGCACAGAAGCCACGCTCCCCAGCCTCTTTCCCACATGCAGCACAGGGGGACCCTGGGCACACTGGTGGCCACTATTCCATCAGTGAACTCACCAGGGGTGACAAGTTAACACATCTGCCCATGTGGTATGTGTGGCTCTCCGGCATGTGCTCAGACTTCTACGTATTTCAGTTATCACAGGGTTCTTGTCATAGAGGTGACAAGGTCTATGGTCCCTGGAAACCAAAGCAAGGGAGGTCTGTAGAAGGTGGAAGCCACAAGTAGCAGAAGAGAATGCAGCCCGCTCTTGCCTTTTACCCTATTACCTTCATGGCATTCCTGATCCCTCGCCTTGCTCTGCTATCAAGTCATCTGAAGGAGGGGGCAGGCAAGGAGGCTGGTCCGTGGCTTCTCAATGTACACACGTAGGATCTTTGTCTAAGATCATGTTGCTCTTGCCAGCCTTCAGGATACAGCTCTTGACGGTCAGTCAATGTTACATTCAAAATATTCACTATTATCAATTATTAATAAAGTATTAATAATGACATCCACATTATTTTTGGGTGTCAACCAATAATAGAACGTTTTCCTGTTCACCTTACGGGGTGAATGAACTAACATTGACTCCACTGTTTTGTTTTTAAAGATAATGGTCAAGCATCCTGCTTCACACCTTTGTTTGATCACACCCGGGAAAGAAGAACACCCATGACAGACAAGGAAGGGAAACGAAAGCCAACAGTCAGTCTGTGCTACTTTTTAATTGTTTAACTTTATTACTGTTGCACCATTTATACAATTACATATAATTTCAATGCATCCATTGTACATTTTTTTATGTGTTTTTTATTTTTTTTTTATTTTCCATTTTCCAATGGGTGGTGTGTTGGTGTCTGTGACACACAGATGGAAGAGAACTGGAATTGCAATGAAGGCAGACTTTTTTTTTTTTTCATTTCCACTGACCAATAAACAGAACTACAGGTGCACCCAACCACGGACATGCATTAACTCGTCATGAGAAATCTAGGTAGGCTAAGTAGGATGAGAGAATGTTTGTTACTCCCAAAAATATCTGGAGAGGAAGAATGGAGGGTTGGCATCGAGATACATGTGGACAGGCTAAGTGGGTTCCGTCTGGAAGTTGGCATTCATCCACAACATTAAAAAAAAATACCAAAATAAGAAAGGCTGTAAATTAAAAAGGAAACACAGAAAATACTGCTTTCATAAAGATCTGATTGCCTTGGCACTGGCCCTGTGGGCAGAATCAAACGCCTCCCTCCCCAACGGCATCTCAGGAAAGATGCCGAGGGGGTTTTAGGGGTGGAGCGCCAGGGGACAGCGGTTTCAGGTCCAAATGATGTACTTTCAGACAATGATCTCTAAAATCCAGGACTGACTGGTCAAGTTGACTGAAGGTATATTAGATATTTCCCCACAAAAATACTATTTGGATTCTCCCCACCCCCTCCCTCCCCTGATGGGACACATCCTCTTTTTCTTTTTCTTTTTTCTTTTTATTTTCTTTTTCTTTTTAATCCCTTGGGCAATACATATCCTTACTTCCAATTTGAAACAAGTTAGTATAGGAGAGAAAGAGAGAGAGAGAGACAGAGAGAGGACAGAGTGAGAGACAGAGAGAGCGTGAGACAGGTCGTTTTGCAAGTGGCGGTCGCTTCTGCTGCCTAGGCTGTCCCGGTTGGTTACTCTTTGACGGCCACGCTTTGCTCGGAGCTGGCGGCTGGCACAGGCTCGGCCTGCGGCTCGGTGGCGGTGGCGGGGGGCGCG